TTTTAATATGGCATCATTGCTCCTTTCTTGCAACCTTTTTGGTCTCTATAATGTCTTTGACTTATTAACTCTTTTACTGATTTAGACGCATCTGCTGCCTTTTGTACTGTGCCTCACACTGAGTTAATCATCAAAGAGCACTGAGTTAGCCACAGCAGTGGAGTGAGGGGGGGGGGTTGTCAAAATACATTATAATAAATGGTGACTAATTGACAGCTGCTGCTTGTTATGTGCACCACACTACCTTGTTTTACCAAGCAGAAGGTGCTGCATTGCTTTAACCTTAGATCAGCTGGCCACAAAAACATTGTGGCTATGTTACAATGTCTGGGTGCTTTTCTGATGTGTGCATATATATGCATACCAGCAGTAAGTTTGTGTTATAGGTGTACCAGCCTCTGTGGTCCTTGGGGCAGGCAATAAGGAGAAGAATTCAGCTGACTTCAGTTATTCAGACTTCTGGCTAACAGCAGCACAGAAATGTGTGTAAAATTAAACAGGAATGGTAAAATTATTGGAAGGGAAACTGCTTTTCATTTGAGGAGAACGGTGACAAACTGAGTCACTGACTGCAGAAATCACAGTTGAATCAAGTATGAAAAATAATGTTATGGAAATGTGCAGAAGGAAAATAAACGGCAACGGAAATAGAGTGGCGGCCAACTGCAATCAACTGAAGGGTAAAAACAAAGCAAAGGAACTTCCTTGTCCGTTTGCTTTTGCCACACAGGCTTAGGGCTGCTGCTGAGAGAGACCTCCCAGGCCCAGGGCTTTAGGCACTATTCTGCAGCGCTGACCTGAGCTCACAAGGTTGCTGTGTGCTCGGACAGTGAGCCTTAGCCAAGGGATCTGCAGCTCCGGCCTGCTGGAAAAATACAGCTCTGAAACTACTGGACACAGGGCAGTTCTCATGCTGTACATGTCTGTGCAGCAGCACGTCTTGGTAAACTTCTGCAAAGATTTTCCCTGTCAGCAGTGCAATCCATAATGCTGTTCTCTAACCGTCCCCCCAGGTTATCCTGTCCCCACTTTCCTCTGCTATGAAGGAAACATGCATCGCTTCAGGCTGGCTTTAGTCTTTAGTCTGACAGAAGGCAAACAGGTTGCTGTGCCGTGGATAATGTGATGGTGACACAGAACTTTTGTGCACGTTTCTGTGCAGCTGTTCCTTGGTTCTGAGCACGCTGGAGGTTCTGTGTCACTCACAGACCCCAGCAGGGCTGTTTTACTCAAGGAGAATGTTTAGTTAGGCTGCAACTGTGTTTGTCCTGAGATGTAATGGCAAGTGGTGAAGTTTCACCAATCCATTTGCAATTTGCAAACTGTTCATTTGCAGTGTATTTTGGTTGTGAGGGAAGAGTTGTTGTCTTTTCCTGGTTTCAGTTCCCTTAATTACACAAAATGAAACACCGTGTCACAACTTTTAAGGTCTGTTCTGCTTTCAACTCCCAAGTCTTTGTACTTTGGTCCTTGACTTCGGCTCTTTCAAAACTCTACCATTTCATTTTTATTGTTTCAAACACAGATTTTGCCAAAGTTTTTCTCAAGCAGTGGTAATAACTCATTTTCATAGCTGTAATTTACTGCATATTCTGATTGCTACAAATCGGTATTTAAGCTTATCCAAAAAGTATGCTGTAGTCTTTCTAAGTATGGGATGAAAATTGACCTCTGAGTTCTAACCATTTCTGTAGTTCTGTTTTAACTGAAATTTACTTAAACACACCATTTAGCTCCTTTAAAAAACAAAAACAATTGCCATTCTTTCCTCTAATTTAAATCACTGTGCTCAGTAGCACGACTTACTTACAAGTCTTTGTATACAGCTCTTCTTACAGAATTTGAAGTGAGTGGTAAGCCTGGAGCGTTGTTCCACCTATGAGCAGAGTAGGACGTTTTCTTTGTCAATGGTCTGGAAGGAAGTTTGCCTGCCTTGAGATAGCTGCTGCCCTGCCAGATCTGCTGTGCGTTCCTAGCCAGGCCTCGTAAGCTAAACATATTGCAACTGTTTTCTTAGAAGAGTTTTCAATGCAGCTTTCAACAGTTTTTAAAGTATTTTAAGAACACAGATTACAAGTTTACTTGCCCTGCTAGCTGTGTGTGTGTGTGCGTGCAACATCTTTTGCGAGAGAGGGGAGATGGTGTGCTCAGTCATGATGGCTGTGCCTTCAGGATTGGAGGCTGTTTCTGTTTTAGGCACAAAGTTCCCATAGGATTCCCTGCTTGGAATCCTGAAGGGTCTGGGAAAACCGTTTCTGCCCAGAAGTAATAATAGCACGGGCTTTTATTTTTTGATCATGAACTGACATTTAAAAGTCATCTGGGGGAAGATGCTTCTTGATTGAAGACAGGCTTTGTTTCATGCAGCTGTAGCTGATCTTTCCCATCTGGTATCGCAGTACTTGGAGTGACATCTCCAGCTGAATGGGGTTTGTAGGGGTGACGTTCCCAGGAGACCTGTGAGCAGATGGGGTTATTCTGCTGTGCTGCTCGCCTCTTGTCCTCAGGGGAACGCCTGGAAGAGTGGCAGCGGCTCAGCAGGGAACGTCAGCTGATAATTCAGAACCTACCAAGTGTATTCTGAACTGTGGTGACGTAAGGACTTGTTGCAGCTCTTTCACACTGTGTGCCTAATGCTTCCACTTACGTGCCAGGTGTCCATGTTCTACCTGGGTGATATAGGCACAGTGTTTTAAACGTGGCATCTGAAAGGTGTTGCTGTTTCCTGCCTCCTATGCCCTCAGTGTTTAACGTTGCTCACTTCATTTGGGCAGTTCAAGTTCCCACTGCAGCCCATTGTCATCCTGAGCAGCCATCCCAGCATAGGAACCCAGCCTTGCACAGCTCCTAGCGAGGTATTGCAGGCTCCAAAGCCTGCTGTCACTTCAGGTTCAGAATGTAACACAACTGAAAAAGAGAAGTGGATGTTCCTATCTGGGCTTTTTTCCGTGTTTGGTGGATTGCTAAAATACGATCTTTCCTGCTAAGAAGCTGGATCTTATCCTGAATCCTGTGAGCTTCACACAAGATCAGATTCTCACAGCATTCAGACTGATTGCCAAAGCTCTTGCATTTATTAAGGCACAGAATAACTGCTTCCTGTGTGCAGAACTCACCAAAGCAGCCTTTCCCATGTACCAGGAAGCTGTTACACAACTGAAAACTGTGTACTTTGTGCTCTGGTTTCTGTACAACATAAAATTGTTCCTCTGCTCTGTGCTGTGACACCACCTGGAGTGTTGTGTCCTGATGGGAGTCCTCAGCACAGGAGAGATGTGGGCCTGTTGGAGAGTGAGTGTCCAGGGGGCACAAATGACCCCAGGGATGGAGCACCTCCCTGTGAGGGCAGGCTGAGAGCTGAGGCTGTGCAGCACGGAGAAGGGGAGGCTGCAGGGAGACACTTCAGTATCTAAAGGGGATGTAAGAAGAGACAGACTCCTTAGAAGGTCTGTTATGACAGGACAATTTTATGGTTTTTATGATGATATGGTAAAATACCAGCAGTAAAAGGGTCGATTATGGCAGCTGCAGAGGTACTCATTCACAAACTACCACTTCCTCAATATTCTTTACTGAGAAAGAAGGCCTGAAAAACTTCTGGCATCAGAGGAGCACAATTCCACAAACAGTAAAGCTGAAGATACCACTGTGCTGCTAGGCTCGTGTCCTGAGAGCAGGCACGTTTTTGTGCTATAGCTACTATGCGCTTTGTTTCCCTTTATACATCTTTGTTTCCAGACTGTGGCCTTTATCCACATTATAAATACAGCACTGGATACTCTAAAAACTTAAATTGGCAAATTCCATGTGTTTTATGTCATCTGGCATTCTGCACAAACCCCCTTCAGTTTGTCATAAATTCCTAAAACAGAGCAAGGTCACATCTGGTAGCAATTTCAGTTTGCCAGATGAGGCATAATCCTATAAAACCAAACTCATTCTCTCCAGTGCCTTTCAGAGATGAGCCCTCCTGCTCCCTTTCCTAAGACATAACGCTTGCCCTGTGAGCTCTGCAGAATGACTTAGGCTGGCAGTCTGTTCACACTTCATATGAACTGCAGTGTTTGGAACACAGGTTGGTAAAAAGGACATAAGGCAGTCCAAGCAAGTAAGCGTGCTGAGGTCTCCAAGATACCAAGCTGTGTCTGGATTCTTTCCCTGTGCAATAGCATGTCCCTGCAGGATGCAGTCATAAGCGTTCCTCCTCAGGATGCATATGGATCTGCTCTTGCTCTGACTAAACTCCTCTTCCTTCACAGCACCCAAACAACGCACACGTAGCTGCTAGTCGGCTTCTCTTACGTGCTGTAAGAATACTTGCAGCAAAAGTTACATTCAAGGTAATTCAAGATATTATTGAAGACAAAACTATTAAGAGCCGTAACACGATGGGATGGCTGCTCACTGACTCTTAGCACACTGTAGAAGCTGTAAGCAGCCCTGTTTCCCACCGAAATGGACGTTCAGCAGCTGTCATTGGTGTTTTATCACTTTCTGCTGGCCCACCATATTTGGAAAAGCAGTTACATTGAGATCTCATTGCCTTTGCTATGTTAAGCTTTCAGAGCACTAGGTGGAGATGCTGATCCTGTTCCTCTAAAGGAACATCAATTGTGTCAAAGCAAAGTTAACTCACAAAGGTTTAGGTTGTGATTTTTTTTTAATTTTTTTTGTGTGAAATGAGGCTGTATTACAATGCATTACTAAGGAGAATTTACAGAACCTACCCACGTTGTCATGCTTCTGTACCTCTTGCACGAGGACTTCCCTGACCTTTGTGAACAGACCTGCCTTTTTCTCTGAGGTGACCGAGTTAAATGTCCCAAAATCATACTTAAAGAAGAATAATCGTTAAAAATTCTGATGGTGTTTGAGATTACTGTTAAAAATGTAAGTGTATTAACTAGCAGCACATTGCAGCTGGACAGATCTCTCTGGAAGGCTTCTTGTCTGCTCCCGTGTCACCAAATTTATGCCTGTTTGAATGTGTTTACTTACAGGCCAAATATCCCAACATCGTCATCCTTCCAGAAGGACAGGAGGGAGATCACATAATTCTAAGGAACCGTCAGCTTCCCGGGTAAGGCAGTAAGAGGGATTTTGTGTTGTTTCTAAGCAAAAGGGACAGATTTTACTTACCACAGAGGGGTGACTTATGCACGGTAATGATTTCCAATAGTCCTGCTTCAGTATTAAGGCACTCTTTGCTTTGCAGTAACTTCTCTAAACACACAGATGGGGCGATGCCTGTTACAGTTCAGTGTTATCATGGCACACTGAAAACTATCAGAGGCAGAGAGGGGGAAAAAATAAGAAATGCCTGTAGATGCTGCTTCTGTGTGGTCCTGGTAGGTAAGCCAGCTGCAAGGCCACCTTGAGTACCTGCTCCTGCATTTTAAGGAAAACAGCATGTTTTGGAAGCTCATTTTATAACAAATGATCTGAATTCCAAGTTCAGTAATGTGAGACACATCTTCCCTCCTGTGCAGCAGAAAATATGTCAAGTTCAAAGAGATTCATTTCATCTTGCCCTTCCTCTGCTGTTTGTTTGGGCTTCCTGGGCACAGCTGCACTTATTGCTGTGTGTGATCCTAAAAAGGCCAAAACCTCTGCAAGGGTGGATCTCACACCCAGCCCAGAACATCATGCTCTGTACAGAAATGCTTGTGAAGTTGTTCTGTTGCTTTCATGCTGCATCTAAAACACCTGACCTGAAGTTGCAGAGAAATCTCTCTTCACTCTGCATAGCACCATTACCACTGTGCTACAGAAACTTACCATTTATGAGACAAATACAAGAGCGGGAGGGGGAAGAAAATGTGGTGAGGTTGAGAAGTTGTATGTACCTGGAAATGAGTAACATCTCATCAGCAAATTACTGGTTTTCCTTGGATCAAAAATGGAAGTATTTCTGATTCCCAAAACCAAAGATGTGAGTTGCATCACGTGATGAGAACTTTGTGTTCTTGAATGTTTTCTGCTTTGAAGAAATGAAGCCGGTTGCCTGGTTAGTGTCTAACTTTCCTCTGGCTGTGTGCAGGTTTGAGTTAATGATTGTTTGGAAGATGCTCATCAGTGAAGAAGGGACAACTACACCTGTTCTGGACCTCCTGCCCAAAGTACCAGAGCAAGGTAACACCGCTCCTTGCAGAGGCCATTTCTGAGCTTTTAAGAATGCCACCCTCCCCCCCCCCTTTTTTTTTTTTTTTGGCCAGCTTGTCCTTAGATAAAATGGAAATGCAAGCTGCTGAGCTTCACCTCCAACATATTTTATTTAAAGCAACTACAAAAACAAGTACATCTTGTTTTAGGCAGCAGGCAATCTGTCCTACCCTGAAATGCGAGGCTGACAGCTGCTGTAAGGAACAGCAAATGTGTGTGAAAGTAATGTTAACTTTCTGCACTCTTCTTGTAGTTGGTGAGCAGAAGAAAGCAGCTATTGACAATGCACCCACCTGCTTCCGAAGCATGCTGCTTCTGTTTGGGATTGAAACTGCTATTGAGAATCTGATTCAAGCATTCAGCTTGGAAAAATGAATACCAGCATCATGTACAACAGGTAGCAATTTCAAAAGTAGTTTTAATTAAGGTATTGTGTTACGCAGTCTATAATTTTATTGAATATAAACATTAAGTTATTCTCCATTTAGAAACCATACTCATAAAACATGCTATCTGTACAATTATGGCACGTTATATATAAATTGTCATGACATGAAAATAAATACAGCCATTTAAATACAAAAATGCCAAATAAAATAGTTACATGTACAGAGTGATTTCATTATAAATTTATCTTTTTTGAATCATTAATGTACCAGAGTGGTTTATCTTTTTAACATTTTCTAGATGCCTGGAAAGTGTTAAAAGATCATGCACTGTCAAAATCAAGTCCATAAAAAGTGGAAGTTCCATTTCACAGCTCTGTAAAAGTACAGTGATTTTAAAATGACTAGAGAACAGCAAGAGACTCCTAGAACAAAGAGTTGAGTAGCTTTCTTATTAAATTAGGCTGGAAGGAGGCAAATAACTTGAAGATTTTGAAGAAATGTTATGCTTAATGCCACAGTATGAACTAACTCTTTTCCGTAGCGGTGTTGGGTGGAGATGGCATTAAATTAAAGCAGAAAGGCCCGTTCTGCTTTTGTAAAAGCCCATGGGTGAGTTGAGTACTGCTTGCTGTGAACGGGAGGTAATCCTCTCACTTCTGGGGGGAATTTGAGTAGATAATATAATATAAAAGCACCACGTTTCACACCTTCCTCCCTGAAGAAACCAAACATTTGACAGACGTTTTGTCATCTTTCACTTCTACTCCATGTACCATTACCTCATCTGTGAGCTGTCAGCATTTTTCAGGAGTTCCTGCCCTGCTGTAGCTGTCACTCAACAGAGCTGTTCAAACCAAGGTGTGCAATCTGAAGTCACCTAGTTTTTGGGCAGAGTAAGTTGTTCCTGGAATCAAGGGCCAAAGATGAGAATGATGTGGACTCCCAAATAATATTAGGAGGCCTTCCTTTTCAAGTCCATAGCTGCTGTAAGCATGCATAAGCAGTACAACTGCCTGCTCTGCACTTGAGTTATGACAAAGCATTATACAGCAATAGCAAAACAGCTGGGGAAACCAATCATTAAACCTACTAATTTCAAAGCAACAGTAGTTTTAATATTGCAACAGTCTCCTACTGTTCTGGAAGATTGGGAGAAACTAGTTTGTGTCAGAATCTACAGCAGAACAATGCCAGAGATTACATTTGGATGGACAGCAGCTCAATGAAATATCTTGGTAGATATAAGGCAGACTAATTTCAAGTTTGAAACCCAGTAGACAGGCAAAATTCATTGCTACTCTATCCACTGACATGTTACTGGCTTAGCTAGTTTTGTGCAATCTTTATTTCATCTTTAGTTTCTTCTTGCATGGCAATGAAACTTTTATCAACACGTACACTTCTATTTGCATATGAAATGTCTTTTGAAGTTACAGCATAAAAAAACCTTTTCAGCTGTGGATAATTCTTCCTCAACTTCTCTAACAGTTGCAGATTCTCTTGTTTTTAAAAACGGACCTCTTTTTTCCCTGGCTTTCTTACAAAAGCAGCAGTTACTCCTCCTGTTAACTACCAGCTCCTTACACTCAGTATCGCAGTGGAGTGAGAACAGCCCATGACCCCGCTGCACAAAGGCAGACTGTCAACGGGAAGTGGAACACAAGAGATTGCAACATGGTGCCCTACTGCTATACGTGTGGGGGTATTTTGCATTTCCTCTTTCTTCTTGAGTTGAGGCAACTTTACAGCAGTGTTTGATTCTGCTTTTTGAATTTCAGGTAACAAAACAGTTCAAACATCACAGAGATCTCAATGTAAATATGTTTAAATATTAGCCTACGTTATTCTTGACCATTACCAGTAAGCAGGCATTAATCACAGATAACAGCAGCTCACTGTAGCTTCAGTAGCACCTCTCTGCAATTTAGGGTTTGTAATCCCCACTCCTGGGGGAAAAGTGGCTGTGGATTTTATCACACTACCCCAATTTTGAGTTTATCTTCAGTCTCTGAATCGGGATCTTCTTTGCAAATGGACTTCTGCAAAAATCACACAGGCTTCCAGCTGTGTGTACCCATGTTTACAAAGCAAAGCCATCAGTAAACTGCTGAAGTAGTGATATAAACTTAGCTGTAGTACTCATCATGAGAAAGTGACCTCCTAAGCTTCAGAAAAGAAAATCAGAGACTGTCACCTCTTTTCTGTCACTTAAAAGAATGAGCCTTGAAAGCAGCTGCTCATGCTATGCAGTACGTGGGATGTCTGAGATAATGCCAACATCTGACATGATCTGAAAGACCCAAAGTAATATGGAAGATGTAGAATACGTTATTTCTGTCACTCAGTTTATATTAGGAAAGAGTGAGCTGTGGCTTCACCTTCAATAGCAGCACATAACATAGAAAATAAAAGTATGTCAGACGAGTTCAGCTATCACACAACATTCAGATATGCTTACCTTTAACCCTCTTCACTTAGTTTCAGAAGCTTTAGGTAGACAGAAAGTGATTGCAAAATTTCTGGAGGCTGTCAGGTTTTCTGAGCCTCATGCATTAGTACTTGAGTGTTTGCAATAAGGTGGTCAGTCCCATACATCAGTAACACTTGAAAGCCACTGCAGTTCTATTTTCAGTGGATTTAATGCTAAAGATTTCTATTAGGTTTTGTTAGAGCATTCCTTTCCCTTCTAGAAGGTAGGAGTGGGACTTAAAAGCACAAGCTTCAAGGCAATTCTCTTGTTAGTAATTAGGTTTTCAATGTTAGTGCAATATTTCAGGAAACCTTTACTTCTGTGCTATCTCAATTCTAAGGAAGTGGACTTTTTGTATTAAATTGATCTGTCCTCTAGTTGCAAGGTTTGGCACGTTATCTGTTCTGTCCTGTTAAGTACATTCAGTAAGGTTACACAGCCAATGCATGTTCTAGTGCTACCCCATGTCTTTTTAAAGGCATACCAATTAGAAGTCATTTCTTAAAGCAAAAACATTCACAGCTGAAAAATGCACTGAACACAATAGAAAAAAATCATAATTGTATTCCATTGATCTCTCACTTTCTAATGTGTTCTAAGAAAAGTAACCTTAAGAGTTACACTTTGTGGAGAACTAACGTGCAGTCTTCATTCTCCTTGAAGAGACTGGACATAACTGGGTCATCTTTGGCCTGTACATGCTTCAAATAATAGTTTACTATCTTGCCATCCAGTTTGTACTGATGAGGAATGCTTTCGTACGGTTTAAGATCGAGGTCCAGGACAGAAACAGAAAAGGTGAATCTTGTTTTGGATGCAAGTACCACAGGTCTTTGCTCAGAGCTGGAAAACAAAACCATATTGCACATCTGAGTCACTGAAATCAGTATTTTTCATTCATGTATCTCCCTTGCAAAAGTGACTCTCGTTTCCTTTATGCATTCCATGAAAGCCAAGGCAAATAAACTTCATTCAGCGTGGCATTTAGAAACTGCAGCTCCAGCTTAAGAATTCTAAGGGAGATTTGTTGGTACTTCTTAGACACATTTTCCTTTTGGTTTCTACACAGCACAAGTTAAGACATTACTCACAATTGCTGCCTTTATAGCTAGTAAATATAATCCATCTCTAAGTGATGTTGCATACAAACCAGAACCCTTACTAACTAGCAGGAGCAATTACTGCAACTCCCTCTTAAGTTCAAGGTAATACAATTTAGAATCAGAACTGCTGCCCACGTACACTGAAGGACAGAGAATTTACTAATAAGGCAGCCACTGCACATGCCATCTCCCTGCTGAGTGTTTTATTCAGGAACTGCAGCACAAATGCAGGAGGCTATATTCTCTAAAGCTTTGGAAAAGCAAACTGCCCTGTGTAAGAGCAAACTTGGTGCTGGCACAATCACAGAAAGCAATGCTGTGGCAAAGCCCCCTGCCTTACCATGCAAAATGTTCCCTCTCAATTATTGCCCTGTTTCCCACTGATATGCTTAACACAGACTTGTGCTTTCTAATTAAGCAGTTCTGGGCAACTCATCTTGAAAAAGAAGTTTTTCATATAGGGACACCATGGCAGAAAAATTCTAACTAGTCAAAACTAGAATTCTAGCTAGAGTTCTACACTGTGAACAATCAAAAAGGGAGTAAATATGAAAACTTGACCCATTTTATCAACATAAAATTCTTCACAGATTGCTTCTACTCCTGTCTTAAATTGGAACTCCAACTTATTAATATGCCCACAGCCAAACAGTGGAGGCACCCCTCCCCAAAAAATCAACTGCTAAAGTTACATGAATCGACTGAACTGTGCTTCCCATTCATAATGGATTGGAGTTGTTCTTACCACTCATCTTGTAGACAAGGTGAAAGGGCAATCATGATGGAGCAGTCTTTAGCAGTCATTGCAATTCTGTACTGTTGCACCTACACAATAAAGAAATACCTTCAATTCTCCATTAGGATTTGTATTTGTCTAGATATCAAGCATACAGCTCCTTATAAAAGGCTTTATAAGTGTACACAGTATTGTAGTAAGTTGTTTTAAGAGCTAGAAATGATCTCTACAGCAGATGTTTAGCAGAAAAGTAGGTGGTATTACAGCAACCTGTGTAAGAATCACCTTCATTTCCTACAGATTCTGTTACTGAAGGCCAAAGAAGTACCTGGTCATGTAAATGCCTCCTCAGCCTAGGAAGGAAATAACTAGCTCTACTTCCCCCCCACACCCCCCTCTAACAACAGATGCTAAAAAATGTTTGGCTTCAAGTACTTCTGCTATATAAACGTACAGCCTTGCACACTGGCAGAATTACTCTTTTCCTGTGCAAACCTCTAACAAGACAACAGTGATGCTAGCACACTATGCCCTGATTTCAGTTAGGTGTTTATGACACTTGTCAGACTAACAACACCAGGAAAAGTACCTTTGTTAATGCAAATGCTATCGTCCCATCGTCTTCTGTTGAAAGATCTAGCAGCTTCTCATAAAAGGCTTCGTTGTAAGGTCCATCTATCTGTAATGTACTTCTAAATAAATGTTGAAAGAAGATTTACAAACAGCCAAGATGATTTACTGCCAGTAAGATCAACAGCCCCGATGTTCAGATTAGAACACACCACGAAAAGCACAAAGGATGGAACAGGTTAACACTGAGCTAATGCTGTGGCCATCCCCACCACGCTCACTTGTCTTAAGATGTGCATCCATTTAGGTTGTAGTGCTAGGGGTTTTTTTGTTTTGTT